AACATCGTTGTCAAACTCTAATTAGAGAACACTCGTGCATTCCCATACTTCATTACACCTTGCTGCCCTACAAAATCTGTAGAAAAAGTAGTATCACACAGAGAATTTACTTTTCTGTAATACGATAAGCATTAGTTTTCAGCAGGTGAGGTACCCGCCGTATGTTTTTTATAAGGTGACAGCTAAGCTTCTGGCCTTTGGGATTGCAAAGGAAGCCCTCAGAACACAAACACAACACGAAAAGCAGCACCAGCTCGCCTCATTAGAGAGGGGGCTTCAGGGTCTCGTATCAACGCCAAGAGCACCTAAGTCAAGTCTCCAAAACTTTGACCAACGTACCGTGATACAAAATTTTGCCTCACGTGGTTATGGTTTATCTGCACTTGTGCCTTGCAGGTGTTATAAGGGGGGAGAAAAAATAGCTTCCTCCCCTTTCTAAAAAAAAACCCCAAGCCTGTTCCTTGCTGCTTCTCAAGTGCCCTATCCACTTTTCAGATCTGCTCATAGGCATTTCTTTGAAGTAGACATTAAAATTACAACTAAGTATCAACAATAATAGCATTTTAAAATCTGTTCTTAAATTTTCTTCGTATAATTAGAACTGCGGTGTTATTCTACTCATTGTGAGCTATGAACACAGCAGGAAAGGCAACTATTTGGACCTATGAAGGTACGGTAAGCCCAAAAAAACCTTACGAAGAAAGCAGACCGATGAGCATGAACTGCTTTCAAAGTCTTCTCCCCGCAATTACTTAATTAAAACTACGCCTTTCTGAAGTAGAGTATAGTTTCAATGTTTAATCCTTGCAGGTTAGAGAGAAAAAACAGAGGTTCTCTCACCCTTACAAAAATCTTCATAGAATGAGGAATAGCAGCTCCATTCATAGAGGTTAACACTATTCTCAACTCTGGCCTTTTCCTTTGAAAAAGAAATCCTGGGAAGCCCTAGCAATGAAACGCTAGCTTCAAAGTAACAGAGGGATGAAAAGTTCCAAAGGTGGAACCAGAGCCCAGGAACTCCAGGAACCCATCCCCAAAACAGCTCTCTCCATACGGAATTAAAACTCCAGGCATAAGCACGGAAAGGAACAGGGCTTGTAAAACGCTCCGCGCTTTGATTCGAGCATTGCAAAACCTTAGTTCTGTCGTCCTCCCTAGTAGAGAAATCCACCCATTCTACAGCTATCATCTAGCATCCCCCTAAAAAACAAAGCAAAAAAAAAAAGACACCCCAAACAACCCTCTACCCACAAACACACACTGAACAACGCAAGTAGAAATACCCACACCAGGCCCAACTAAACGTCCATTTATGTCACCTCCCGTGCAGCCAAAGGCTGATAACCAGAAACCAACACCACCACGAAGTACACAGACTTCTCCTGCGCGCTCTCGTAACCTCCAGCAGCCTGTCTGGTGTCTGGATTTACTTTCTCACCGAGAACGTCTGTCTGGCTCGTTCCTAATGGGAGAACTTCCATAAAGTCAACCAGCCTCCCCTCGAACCTTTTGCATCCACAAAACCTTGTAATAAGAAGTTCTCCAGCTAAACTACGCACGTACGAAGAACCATCTTTCATCTGGTTTGTACCCACACCTTGCGGGTATAATTTGTCTCTGGTATCCGATATCCCCAGTAAAAAATACTCTGTATTTAGTAAGTTAAGCCAAAGAAAGAGAAAGTTGGAGCTCCACCCAAAACTAACTGCCAGAGATAAGCCTGGGGCCACGGAGGACAGCATCAATTTTTGATCAGTTCCAGGGAGCAAACGTCCCATGCAGAGAAACGCTCAGAACGCATTTTAGGGAGCATCAGCACAGAGAGAAAGTTCAAGAACTAAGAAACACTGTGCCCGCACAGAGGAAAATTAGGAGTTTGGCAATGAAACTAAGGAATTCTAACTACGGTTATTAAAACGCTTTCTGAACACTTGGTTACGGCAGCTCTGGCGTACAGTCGCAGGCCTCCTACCGCACGCTCCCCTGGTAAGGCAGGGCTCCTCTGTCCGGGCTCTACTTTGTCCCCAGGAGCTAACACTTTTGAAATGCATTTTAAGAGAGACATGCCACAGCTAGCGCGCCCATCAGTTAGGCGACGGGCTGGGCTATATAATCCCAGTTAGAGTCCCTGTGATGCCCGCTCCTCCCCCCCCGATTTTCAAGGCTCAGATTTTGCCACGACCGCCGGTGCCGGCTTCACTCCGCTCACCCGGGACCTCCGGCGACCGAAAAGCACTACCTCGCCGCTGCCCCGGGAGAGGAAGCAAGGAGCACTGTGAAGGGCACAGCCGGCCCCTCGTGCCCTGTCAAACCAGCGGCGGCTGAACCCCTCCGGGGTCCCTCCGAGGCCGCCTCTGCGTGCGGCGAGGGAGCCCCGAATTCCAGCCCGGCAAGGGCCCCCCGGGGGCCA